AGAAAACTGGTGCCGTATGGTAGCCTCGAAGCAGTTATCTAGACTGTACAGAGATGGCGGCAGTGCACTCTCAACTCAGATTGACCACAGCAGGATAAAACGTCAACATATTTGCAATATTAAAAGGAATTCCAACAGAGGATCAAGGGCGTTCGAATGATATATCTTACAGGAATTAGGGTCCAAAATTAATATGAAAGGCCATCTGGTTAAGATCAAGAAAAATATATAAAATGAGTTTGCACATCTACGAAAAAAAAACTAGAAAACGAATAAGCTATCAGTGATGAAAATCGGTTGAGAAACCTGGGAGGAGTTCACCGGACAAAATCCGGTCTGCAGGTCATCTGCAGACATCTGCAGGTCGTTATATACAGGTATGTACGAGGGGCGTTCAATGAGTTTCAAGAATTGGCCCCACCCACATATCTTGGACTAATCTTACGATTGCCCTTTTCTTCATTAGGGATTCAGTGATTAATATTAATTTTCTTTGAATTTTTGCCCGTAATGGAGACTCGCGGTGCTCAAGAACGGTAGAGTGACCGGGTACCTTAATTAGAATTGTCGAGAAGGGATGAGTGTGCAATGATTGTGTTTTCGCCTGAGTGATCCCTGTGCCACAGCAAGCTAAAATAAGCCTTTCAAGGGCAAGCCTCACCCCTTCCAGTCTTGCATGAGCGGTATAGCCGTTTTCGAACCAGGAATTTCTGCCTTCTGTTGAACAGGCGAACGTTTTGCTCAGCAGTGAAGGAAGCTGTCAATTTGGCAACATGCGCTGGAGCATTGTCGTGGTGCAATTTCCAGTGACGCGACCCACTTTTGAGGCGCTTTTGGTGAAGTTCTTCAACAAGTTTTGAATGGCACTTGGTGGCATACCATCTGGCACTCACTGTTTCATCTTCATCGATGGGCGCAACCTTCAGTTTTTTTTCTGCAGAAAAAAATGGCGACCACGACCTCCCGAACAACTCTTTCGCGACGCAGTTTCAACGGAATGTCTTCTCCATCAAATTCCCACTGGCGGCTCAGGCTCCAGGTTTCAGGGTCATAAAAGTAGATTCAAGTTTCATAACCTCTGACAATGTTTTTAACATCTGAGTTCCCTCCGCTAAACTCATCCAGCATTTAGTGGCAAAATTCGACATGAGCTTGTTTTTGGGTAGCTAACAGTGTATGGGGGATTCATTGAGCACAAATTTTCCTGACTCCAAGGCACTCATAGTTACTTTATGCTCTTCATCCAGCACGTTCCGAACTTTTTCGACATTTGCCTCAGTTGAAGTAAATTTAGGCCCACCCTCGCTTGAAGCGCCATCTAGGAAGAAATTTCTGGTTAAAAAAAAAAGGCTATACCACACATGCACGACTGGGAGGGATGGGGCTTGCCCACGAAAGGTTTATTTTAGTTTGCTGCGGCACAGGTATGCTGGATTACCCGGGCGAAAGAAGCACAAAATAAAGAGTGACAATTTTCAGTGTTACTGATTCTCATGAGCTCTCATTTTTATAATTGACTGACTTTAATGAGTAATAGCTCAATTTAAGGCTAAAGCTCTGCAGTTTTATTGATATCAAAGAAATTTGACAAATTATACTAAAATTATGCTAAAATTGTGTTCAAGATGCCCTCCATTTTGATTTCGGCATTCCCACAGTCTGACGTTGTCTCCATGAATTTAGTCACTATCCAGACCCTTTGCTCTAGCAAATATTGACCTCTCATGTGAACAAACCTACAACGAAACAAAACTGCATGAGACAAGCTTCCTGGAAATGTCACTCAACGCTCTCTGTTGAAAATTGTGTACATGGCGAGCCACTAAAATCTAACATTGAGAATTGTCACCCTGTATATGCATACTCGTCCCTTCTAGAAAAATATAATTCAGGTAACCGGTCGCTTCTTCTTTTTTGAGCACCGTGAGTCTTCATTAAGGGCAAAGATTCATTTTAAAAATTCGATTAATCACTGAAACCCGATTGAAGAAATGGGCAATTGTGAGATTGGTTCAAGATAAGTGGGTGAGGTCGATTTTTGAAACTCATTGAACGCCCCTTGTACGCACATGTCCTGCAAGGAGGTCGCACTTTGTTGAAAGGCGCTACCGCGCCTATTGAAGACAAAGATGCACATCGAGTTCGTTTATTGATGAATTCGTACCGAAGACGGAAACTTCATGGGAAATTTTGAATTTGAAGTATGCTGACATTGGGAAAGACACGAGCAACCGTCGGCCAACCTGGATCTTGACTTTAAGGCGCATGTGCAAGACTCAGTTTGGGTTGGGGGGTAGTGTACCCAGATGGGGATGTTAATTCCCCTCCAGCCGTTGTAACCTACGAATCCATTTCTGACAGAGTGGGAATTAGCATGGCAGCGATCAGGATTGCTAGCCGAACTCGCGCGATGACATATTGCAGTGCTGCACATTCTACTCGCCTCCTGACTCCAAAACTATCTGAAGGTCCACTACTGGACTGGGCGCAGTTCGTCCTTCCTCCTGTCAGGGACGGACCCTAGTAACAATTTGACGAAATTGGAAACTCTTCATTCGACTCGCTGGTTACAAGCTCGGTTACGGACTGACAAGTCTGAACGTGGGGTACGGCACGAAAGGAAAAAAGGGAAGGATTCCGCACCGACTGTGGAATAGAATGTAGGTCCCGAGGTCAAGCCCCCGAGCTAGCGAGTCGATCGTTTCGAATCTCACGGTTTCGCTCCGTGTCCTATGTGTTTGGATGAGAGACATATGAGCACCCGATTAAAAGAGAGGAGATTGACACGGAGTTCAGAGAATAAGGACGTCAAAGACACTTGGAGTTCAATAAACCCTTCTCATGTTGTTTCCACAATTATTTCACGGATAAAAGAAGAGTGATTTGGGTGAAGGCTTCCCATTCCCGCTCCATGCCTTTCTCCTGTGTCTGTAAGAGATACGAGGGTCACTCAATAAGTTATCTACCTGAATAAGAAAGGGATGAGCAACAGGCCAGTGCCTGCTGTGACATGTCTCGACAGGTCTCGTGAGTGCCCCACCACTATACCAGCTCAGTGGCTCAAGTCCGTTCAAAGTGGTAGCGCAT